AGGACACGGTAAAATAATATAGTAACCTACCGAATCCTTATGGTTAATACATTAACGAATTTAAATTATTTAAAACGAATGTTGCATATTTATAGATATTTAGGCCTTTTCTCAATAAAATAAAATTGTTTTTTTTTTTTTAATTTATAAATGTTAAGGTCATATTAGGTATGTTACGTAAAAATAATGCTATAAAAACCGGTCCTTTAAAATATATAACTTAACAATTTATTAATACATTAACATAATAAGGTTTAAAATAGTCAGAAAATGTATACAGAAAATGTAGGCAATATACTTATGATTTTGCTTATTTTGATGTGGACTTTTTCTATAATTTATTAATATAATTTGGTTTTCTATTTTGTGTACTATTTAGTTTAATTGATTATAAATTATAACATTTTATTTTAAAAATAAATCAATTATATAGTATTAAATTACTAACTCATCTGTAAAAAAATCAATCCTATTTTAAAATTATGTATACGATGTATAATATATATAGATAACATTTTTTAATAATTTTCATTTAAATATCACTATAATAATTAAAACATAATAAATTAGGTAGGTACTTGTAAATAATACATAAACAATATTCCATCTGTTATTAATTGATATTCGATACATATCTTATATGTCACTACAACACCATACAAATACATTTCTGAAATATTATTAAAACTCACTTCACTAAATAATGTATTGGTATCTAGAAGTATATTACTAATAATTATTGTACTTATATTAATTTATGTTTTTAATTAAAATTCCATCATGATTTCTTTCTTGCTGTTTATAAGTATGGAAGTCCACATAGGCAGTTTGTCGATGATTTCAACAAGCTATCATTTCTTATACCTTGAATTTTTCGAATAAATTATTAAAAATAAATTTAAATTTGATTACCTAGTACCATGTGAGCAGCCTTATTTAACGCACGCCTTTTCCGTTACTTATACCGCTGCAATTTCGATCATCTACGTTCAATCGCAAATGCAAAAACCATCTAATAATTTTTAATAGTTTTCATTAAATCTTGTAAAATGTCTCTATAATTCTCTATTATCGTATAATGTGAATCTTTCGTATTTCATTCAAGTGTCTTAATTACTGTACAGTTGTTGCGTTATCACGAGCGCCACACAGTAGTGTGCGATCTTTGTCCCTGAGATAAACATACCATTATCGCCAAATTTAAAAACTAACTATAAAAATTAAAATATTAGTAAAATTAATATTTTTTAATATAGTCAATAAAACCATTATACAGGATGCTCGTCTAAACATTCCTACAAATAATTCCAATTTAAGCCATTTGTCCTCATCAAATAATTCAAATAGTCCAAATAATGAAGTCTGGTTACTAAAACAAACACTAATACATACTATAAAAAGAAGTCATTGAAGTTTCTCAAAACCAAACTTTAAATATCAACAGAAATTAAAAACTACTTTTATCAAAACATCGATTTGAAGTGCTATCACTAACGAAACCAATTGAAATCAACACAATTACATTAAACCCTGATGCAGTTGTAAATAACCCCGGAGAGAACTCCCAACAAGAAAAAAATCATACATCTATTTCCTCCTATAATGATAAAAGGAGTAAATAACTTTGTAAGTTTATGTTTTGAGTTCATAGACCATATGGGTTCTGAAAACTACTCATTATAGTCAAATGTCAATAATCTTAAAGTTCAAGCAAAAAATCTAAAAACCTACAGAATAATAATCTCCTTTTTACTAAACTCAGAAATTGAATTACATACCTATTAAATGCAAGAGAACAAAGCCTACCAATAAGAAATCTCCACCTAACTACCAACACAGCAGAAATTAAAATAACCGAATATGCCGACGATAAAGTAATTTACTTCACCCATACTCCATCCTGACTTAGTTTCTACTTTTCTCCAAAGTCACCTGAACGACCAATCATATTATTACTTCCACTGGCATATTAAAATAATAAATGAAAACAAATCCGTACCCACTACTTTTGCTCTCCACCATAGACATTGTCTATTAGACAACCTCTTCCAGTACATATAAACAACAAACCTATCCTAAATTCCGATACAGCCAAATATCTCGGCCTAACCTTTGACAGACGCCTAACATGGGCTAAACACATTCATACAACAAAATTAAAATTAAACCAGCGTATCTACACTCTCAGGCCCATTCTCGGTAAGTTATCAACACTATCCCTCAAAATCAAAATTCATATCTATCATTTTCTTCTTAAACCCATTTGGCTGTACGATATACAGCTCTAAGGCACAGCCAAAATATTTAATATAGGAAAAATACAAATGTTCCTATCAAAAATTGTCCAAATAGGTTCGAATAGATTTTTGTTTGGTTGACCACTATTAATACTGCCACTTTCTTCCAAATAATTTAATTTTGTTAAGACATATTGCACAGAATAATTTAAAACCAGTAATCTAAAGCCATATTACCTACGTTTGTTAATTGGTTACCGAGAAACATTTATCGCAGTCGTTAACATTTTACATTGATAAATATTAGTTGAATACATTAAATTCATATATGTATATGCTATGTAAATAGACTTGTAAATAGAATACAATATGCTGAAACATTTTAATTTTAATAAATCAAAAAATATGTATGTATATAAATATATTAATACCTAGTACATTTTACGTTTTCTTCAGCTGATATGTCCGAAAAGTTAGTTGTTATTTTTTTTATAAAACTTGTAAATTATTCACATTGTGAAACAACATAATTAGCGATTACGATATAGTTATACAAAATTGAATATTATTTATTAAGATTGCAAGACAAACGTAAATTTGGAATTACATTTATATATAAACATTGTGAAACATGTCCACACCGCATGTACAGCCGACGTTAATAAAACACATCCTTGATAAAATTATTTTAATCAACCTTGAAGTCGGTAGTGAACAAAACGTATTAATTTTATTTTCTATCATAATACATTTTTAAATTTTATATTTTCAATAGTAAAAAAGACAACTAGATATATTTTTGATTATGTATTGGGGGTCATTAAATTTTTTTAAAAATTATCATTAATAAGTAATCGAATACCGAAATGAGTAATTTAAGTTTAAACGGTAATTTAGTATACTAGAATTGTGCCCACTACTATTTTATTTATGTACAGTCATAATATTGCCATAATGCTGATTATAAAAAATTTTTCATTTTGCAATAGTTAATGATTTATTACTTTTTATATCTCAACCGTAATATAGGTAAATTAAACGTGTTAATTACATAATTGATAACAATCTAATCAATGTAGAACAGTTTAACAATCTTTAATCAAGTATATTTTATTTTTTAGTTTACACTGAAAGTATATTTATTTGAAAATAGTACTCGTAAATATAATTTTCTTCATATAAAATTAACACAATGATTAGGTCATGATAGCAACGATAAACAAAATATACTTTTAATTTGAATTGTTCATGAGTGTTTTTTCCAAATAAATGTATAAAAAAACAAATAATAGCAATATAGATAAATTAAAAATTATATATGACTAATATGGATTTTTATAATTTTAAGTAAACAAATTAAAAAAAATTAATTAATTGCATTTTAACAGATTATATAAAATAAACATCTCTAACTGCATATTTTTTTTATTTTTCATGAAAAAAATATACTATATATAATTTTAGTCCTATAAAATAGGAAAAATAGTTTAAAACTAATAATCAAATATTAATTTAATAAAATTTTACTAACCTTTTACGATTCTTAATAATAAGAAACATTAGAATGAAAAATATTAATTTATGAGTGAAAAATGAATACTTTTAATTGAAACTTATTTAATAAATTTAAGTACAAATTTAAAAATAATTAAGAAAAATATTTACTGTGTTGGTGATTATAACAGTAATATACTCATAAAAAAAGTTAAATATATTTTATCATAATATGGTAATATTAATTATGGAATTTATAAAAACAATTTCTACCATTGTTAGAACATAAAAAAACAATGCATTTAGAATATTGAATAAATGACTGATATTTGCAATCGTTCATTTGACGAACTCTTCTATTTACCATATGGATTTGCCAGTGATCCAAGTTATCTTATATGATATCCATAGGAGGTAGTAATGTATATCTATACCGAGATCATTTAAAGTTGAATGTACAATGATAATCGTAAAAACATCAAATAGTTCGTACAAAATAAAATGACGTATTTGTTGTGTTACTTCATCGTAATGCATATATTAACGGTGAATGTAAACACATTTTACTCACTAATGTAGATAAATAAAATATCAATCGTATTATCTCTCTAAACTATAGACAATATAGAATCTTAAAATATTTTTTTCCAACAATTTCCAAACATAGCTTCATTCCTGCAAGCTGCTAAAAATAGTACGTCTTTTTTTCTGTTGTCACTAATCAACAAAATACAATCTAAATTTTGAAGTATGTAATTCGCTCCAATGGTGAAATTATGTACCATATCTTACTTTACTGATAGTGAAAGAAAGTAACAGTGTTAAAATACATTTTTTATCACTATAAGTTGTCGAATAAGCAACATTAATCACATAATGCATATATGTCTATACATGCAGTGAAGGGTAATAGGATATTTATTCTTATTAAAATCAATAATATGTTGAGGAAATTGATTATAAATGAGTGCAGAACGTTTTGAGAAAGTTCTAGGTTTCATGTTACGTAATATCATAACGTTAATCATTTTCAATAATAACTATATACTTTTCTTTGCATTAACGCGGGTTGTATAGGAATATTACAAGGGCGAATTCAAATATTATTATAAAGGCAAAAAAAGTGTGTTTTAATCAACAGTCGACCATAATTTAAAATGATTACATTAACTTATCAATTTTAAAATTACCATTAATCATCTAGTTATCAACAATACGGAATAAGATATAAGAAATTAAACACGTTCTTCATTAAATTATTAAATTCGTCCGTTTAAAATGCAGTAAATAAATTACCAATTTAAGAGGTTATTTCGTGCCAATTAATCACCAATTAGACGCTGATCGAAACGAAAAGCTAATGATGATAGTCGGTAACTAGTTTATAATCTTTTGACGGAATGAAAAACATTTGATTAAAAAAATCGTCATCGATCATTAAAGCATTGTAAACAGCTATTACTCAACCAAAATTGAATTTAATTCACGCATCGGAAGCACGTATTCTCGGTGAACATTCGTCGACGAAATAAAGAGGGGTCACTTCAGATTCCCGTGCACGTGTAAGAACGGCGGCGATCTACTCCGCGTGGCAAAAACGCGAAGTCGTAAGAAAAAGTGATGTGGACGCGTGGGACAGTGGGCGAGGGCAATATTCATTCGTTGAACTTAAATAACGTCTTATCAAAGTGGTGCCCAATTATGTATAGATCAATATTGTAATCGTTAATAACATTAACGAGACCCGGCACAGTCAGTCGAACGAAAATCACGCGCGCCGTCGGTCGGTCTCACGTTCCAGAACACATAATACTCGCTTCCAGGGGCACGGTGAACACAACCCGGATCCCGTTCCGTACACGTGCCGCTAACTGTTCACCGGTTCGAGGGGGTGAGGGCACACACGTTCGCGTCGTTATTCCGAAACCGATGTCGGCGACGGCGGTACCATAACGATCCGCCTTCGCACCGACCGCGACCGGTTCAAAACGGTCTTTTTTTTTTCTTTTCCACACGCGACAACCCTTTGTTCCGATTAATATCGTTGGGTGACGTATGTGTTGCAGCAGTTCGGACTGAAAATGTCGACTGTTAAAGGCGTGATGGCGAACGTGTCCGTGGAGCCGGTGGTGTTCCTGTACTTCGTCACGATGGTGTTCTCGGGGTACTTGAGCACGAACCTGTTGCTGTACAAGGCGTGCGACCCGACCGGCGCGATGGCCCAGCTGGTGGGATCCAAGTGCCCTGACGAGGCCAAGGCGCAGCACGTGGTGGCGCCGATCAACGGCTATAAGCTGCTGGTGCAGCAGGTGGTGCCCGTCGCGCTGGCCATGTTCGCGGGCACGTGGAGCGACCGGCACGGCCGTCGCCGCAGGCCTCTCGTGTTGTTGCCCATCATCGGCCAGATACTTTCGGACGCGCTGTCGCTATACTGCACCGTCCGGTGGTCGGTGTCCCCCGCGGTTACGGCCACCATGCAGGCGGCCGCGATAGCGTGCTCGGGCGGACCGGCGATGCTGTTCAACGGCATCAACTCGTACGTGGCCGACAAGACGGCAGAGGAATGGCGTACGGTCAAATATGGCATGATCGGCGGCGTCATATCCGTGGGATGCATACTGGGAATGCTCGTGTACGGCTCGGTCATCGTCAACGTGGGCTTTGCGGCCGCGTACCAGATCTCCATAGGCCTGGGTCTGTTGTGCCTGGCGCTGGCGTTCGGTTTCATGGACGACGCCGAGCTGACACCGTCCGACAAGCTGCCGCTGTACCGGGACGTATTGCGCACCATAAACCCCATGGAAGTATTGCGCAACTCTTACGGCGTGCTGACCAAACGGCGCCAAGGCAACGACACCGTCATCCTGTGCATCGTCGTGCTGTTATGCGCTCCACTTACGTGCATACCGCTGGAGGGTGGGTACCGTTTGCGTTATTTGCCGTCGTCACCGCAAGGCCGTCGCTACCAAAAACTAATAGGGAGGTGGGATTAAAAATTTGCCTACTGAAAGTATGTAATTTGCCGAACCCCGAATGCAAAATTAGCTTCTCCACTTACTAATACTTAATATTTTAAATATATAAGTAAGTAATGTTAATATAATATGGTTCTCGTCCAACTACTACCCGGCTCACGACCAATGGGTTGGGAACCGCTATCATACGGCTTTAATATTCATTATTTTCTTATTCATTATTCTTCATCTTTATTAATCAAAGACACCCTGTATAAAATCTAATACACAATTTAGTTTTAAAATCATTACAAATATAACGTAAGCATATGAAATAAAAACGGTAATAATGATATATAATAAACATCTAATTTCATAATTTTTGATGAGTGGTTCTCCCTTTAGCCGACCGTGTCGAACGGTATTATTGATTATTTCTGCTACAATTAGTAGTTAGGTTAGACCTTAGAACTAGGTAAGGATTACGATCTCATAAGGTACGAGAAGAAACTTCAAAATTTACCAACGATCTACAGAGATATTTTACGTGAACTTATTTTAATTAAAAAGATATAAAATAAATTTTCTGTTTTAGGAGAGATGTCAGTTATGTATTTATTTTTGAGGTATAAATTTCAATGGAACGAAGAACAATTTAGTGTTTTCAACGCTTATCAGATGACCGTTGTATTAATAGGTAACATTTGAATAACTATTTAACACAGTTTAGATACATGGAAATGTATTTAAAATACGTATTAAACATATATTACTTTGTTTCTTATTAATTTATTACAACGATTTTTTTTTACAGGTACAATATTTGCATTAGGAATTTTAAGCCACAAATTTCGAATGGACGATGCATTGATTGGTACTATCGCTGCAATATTTGATTTACTTTGTGCTATAGCTTTCTTTTTAGTTACACAATCATGGCAACTATACATAGGTAATGTGATTGAATAATAAAATAACAAAATACTTCAAAATCTTATTTTAGTGGTCATGATATAATCGAATAAATTATAACATTCATTGACCACTATCTAAATATTTATAATATTCAACAAAAACATTAATCATGAAATATTGCGTATTTTGTTAAATAACATCATATTACATTATATTAAATAGGACTGAAACATAATTTATAAAATTAAAATATTTAAAATATTATTAAAAACTTTTTTTCGTTCCCGATATAATATAGGTTATTTTTTTATTTTATCTACAAACGCTTGATAGGTATCATACTTTATAAATAATTTTTGTGGATACACTTAAGTTTTATGTTCCATATAAATCATCTATTAATAATTATAATAAAAATGTTTTGATTACATTTTAGTGCCACCACTGGAATTATTCCGAGGAGCAGCTCTATCTTTAACAAGTTCTATAGCATCAAAATGTGTTGGGCCTACTGAATTAGGTAATAAAAACTGTTGAAATAAAAGTCATAATTTGTTACGTTTTATCATAGGATATATAATATACTGTTCTATAGTCAATGATTTATTAAAGTTTAATTAATGTTTACAATATTTCTATGAACCGTAATTCATAGATAGGTACGTGCAATGTTTTATTTAATGTTGATATTATTTTGCAGGTGCGATGAATTCTGTAAAATTGCTAATGGAAAGTTCGCTAAAAAGCGGATTTTTACCGTTTTACAATTTTATGTACAACCATACGTTTGAATCTATGCCAGGCGCATTTTTTTTGATTAGTATTGCCCTAACTGCTCCACTAGTTTTCAGCTTTGGGTAAATAGTTATTTGTATGGTTTATATTCAAAACTAAACACGAAATAATGTTCTAATAATAAGACGTTGTCCAAATTTTAGGCTCGAAATTTAAATAATAGTCATTCAATTTTGATTTTTCTAGTTACATATACTACATTCGTCGAAAACAATTGAAATCCACTCCTAATCTGGAAAGCATCAATGGTATTACAATACAGAAGACGGAAATAATCCCAATCGATGAACCGACAGATATAACAAGTCACATTTAATTTAAATATAATCATCTTGGTATATAATATATTTAAGCATTTGTGTATAGCTGTATGTATTGTGTATATACACAATACATTGTGTATAGCTTTATGTTTTTTTTTGTTTGTATATTTATTGAAGATAAAATAAATGCTTAACATTAAACAAAGTTTAACAATGTAATTTGTACACATCATGTAAGCAAATTTTATAAATACATACATTATTATTTTTCCTTTAATGCATAGTAAATAATATGCGGCTTGATTTTATTTAAACACCTGGATACTCTGTTTATGATTTTAATTATAAAGCAAAAACATTATGAACCTTATACTTATTTTATTAAGTTTTTAATTGGTCAACACTATGTAATATTATGTAATATATTTTTGTGTTGTAAATATTTGAGGTACATATATATCAAGAAAACCATTTCATACCGTCAGTGGCATATTTTCAATTTTTTCTGGGGGGGTCCACAGTTTATACATAATTAATATAAACTATATTGTCTTGTAATAGTTACGTCCTTATGCAGTTTTTGGAGGAAGTTGAACTAAATATATAATGTAATAATCGTATAGTCTTATGTAATATATATATACCTATATATTGTGTTTAGCATTATATATTATAAAGTATTGTTATAAAATAAATTCCAGTTGTCTCGATATTTTGGCCAACTCCTCTATCACTTCATCAACAGTAATTTAAACTTCCCTGTGAATGTTTAACATACCCAATTCTGCAAGTATATAAGAATTGTTGTTAATTTTTATATTTTTTTGAGAGGTTCTGGGGGGTCCAGTATCCCTGGACCCCCCTTTATATACGCCGCTGCATACCGTGCTTTTTTGTTTACTACCATAGAGATGTAAAGGGACAGTACAATTATTATATGGCTAACGTGTATTATAAGTGATGCTTCAACAATTTTCATATCTAATTTATTTTGTGATTTGGTGCACGTGAACTTCATGAGGGAAAAAGCACGTTCAACACCTGCATTAGAACCCGGCAAAACAAAACTCTACTACTTTTAATAAATAAGAATGTTCTTTTTTAGTCTTTGATAATGTTTTAAAAATAAAAACCATTTTGCTCTGTTTCTTGTTTATGCCATTCATATTTTTTTTTTTTTTAAAAAAACTTGAATTGCTTAAAATATTTTTGTTCATCTATTGTTACGTTTGATGTTGAACAAATTAATACAATCGAATTTTTATTATTTTTCCACGTAACTACCGATTTTGGTGTCATTGTTACCAATACAACATTTACCTATGTAAAACTGATATTTTAAGGGGTAAAACGTTTTGTTGCAAGTAATTAAAACGTGAAACTCTGCTCAGCCACTGTTCGAACACAGAAAAATATTCCACTATCCTCAGCTTCACCGTCGTTGTTACAAAATATTTTGAATTCAATATTCTCACAGATCACCTAGTCAAGTTTAAACAACTATTTCGCCGTTTACTCATTGTTGCAAAACGACCCTTATAGAAAGTCGTTGAACGCAAATATCCCGTTTCTTAGTGTACATGGTATTTACCGCATTCCTCGCCATTACGTCAAGCCGGACGGGAACTTTTTTGCTCGATCGGATGGGCGACACTGTACGGGCTGCTCGTGCATGTGCAAAAACGGCGGGAAAATCTAACTTTATCATCGAACATTTGTTTACATTGGTGAATTTTTTTTCCATAGCGTACACAGGATTTATACATTTTCCAGACAGAAAAAGCATTATTTTTTGTTTTTCCTTCTCGTGACGAGTCGCCTCATTATCGGGGTTTCATGTATCGTGAAGTCCACAGTCTCCAGCTCTGATTTTCATTTTTTTTTCATCTCTATTTTTTCCGTCCCTATTCTCCAAACGGTAATATGCAGGTACGTGGTGTGTTTTGTGTTGTGTGGGCTATACGGCGGCGGTTGTCGTCGTGTCGATCCGATTGGTACGCGGTCGGTCGGCGCCATCGGAAGACCATGTGGGCGTGCTGAATACCTATTACAATGTGTAGCGTCGTTTTTAAAACCATGATACTCGATTTTACAGAATGCAATAAAAAGTAGGCAGTTCGTCAAAGAAGGGCCTACGAAGAACGTGAGCATCAACGTGAACTATGATAAGTTGGAACAGATTGGTGAAGGGACGTATGGAGTCGTGTATAAAGCATTGGATAAACAGACGGGAAAGTTTGTAGCTTTAAAAAAAGTCAGGATGGAATCGTAAGTTTTCATTATTCCTAGTGGGGGTATATTTGATTTTAGTGAATGAGCGTTTTCCATTCGGTATCATTTATTTTTTCTCTTTGTCTCTCCCTATAATTTTCGTTTTTTTAAATATTTAAATTGTGTATTGAACATTATACACAGAAGTGCAGAAGGTGTACCTTCTACTGCGATGAGAGAGATTTCATTATTAAAAGAAATGAATCATGAAAATGTTGTCAAACTTCATGATGTTATTATGTCAGATAAGAAATTATTTTTAGTATTTGAATTTATGGATCAAGATTTAAAAAAAGTATTAGAATTACGCAGAAAAGAATATGGATTTGGATTAGCTGAACACCAAATTAAGGTAAGATTTGACTATAATCAGCCAACTAAAATAATAATATTTAAAATAAATTAGCATATTATGCTTCTTTACTAATAATAATAACTCTTTGTGATTCCTGATTAAAATTGCCAAGGTGTTTGGTTTGGTATATTATTTTATAAAACTATTTATATTAATTTTTTCGCTTGAAGAAAAAAAAAACAAAAATAATATTTTATCTAATTAATATTTTTATTTATATTAAATGTGAATTACATATTACAGGTCATATTTATTTAATATTATCTAGGTAGGTATATGGTGTATACCATATTGTAAAGTTCTTGTAAAAAGGTATTATTTCTATAAAATACACTTTAATATTTATTAAAATATTTGTGAAAAATGTAATTTTATATAGTATTAAAAATAGATTTTAAATAAATGCTAAATTAGCCTTGTGTCTTGAACTAAAATTTTTTGTAAAGATTCCATGTCATAATATATTTTTAAAATTATGTATTTATGTACTATAATCATACTTCTAGGTTTTGGATTATATTAATTATTTATATATAAATCTAATTTTCGTATCTATCATTTAAATTATGTGAAATTTCAAAATTAATCTTTACAGTATTTATTGCTTTATGTTTCTTTTTAAATTAATCAAGAATCATTTATCTTATTATTATTATTATTATTATTATAATATTAAATTAACATAAGGATTTGTTATAAAATTAAAATATATCTATTAATTATAAAAATCACAGATCTTTATAGAAAGGTTCTATTAGATTTCCAATAAATTCTTCATTTTTAGTTAATGGTTTCCGATTTTGCGGACAGTAAATTATATAAATATTTGATTTACAATTTCCTAAACAAATTATATGAATCTTCTCGTACTAACTACTTCTTGATGTTTCATGGTATACTATAATATTTTAAAAACATATTTTTGAAGGAGGTTCCATGTAGAATGTCTATTTTTAGTAAATCAATTAAATTTCAAATACTTATGTCCAGTATGGACTTCTATATTATTCTTCATTTATTTTAAAAAAAGAATGAGTCTAAACTTTTACATGCTATATGTTATTGATATTTTGATACCAGCAGATACCACCAGACCAAGAGTGATATTTTTGACAAATCAAATGTCTTTATATTTTTTTTAATGAATTATATTGTATGTTGTATGCTTATAGTGCATATGGAAAATTATAAAATTGTAATTATTCTACTTATGAAAACATGTTTAAAAAAATATTGATAGTAAAATATAAAATTGTTTTCTATTTATACTCAATCATTATTTTATTTTTAATTTTAGAGTTATTTGTATCAAATACTGAATGCCTTAGCTTATTGTCATATTCATCGAATTGTTCATCGAGATCTTAAACCTCAAAATCTTTTAGTGAACAATACTGGTAAAATCAAGTTGGCAGACTTTGGTTTAGCTAGAGCTTTTTCTTTTCCCTTGCGTAATTATACACATGAAGTTATCACTTTATGGTATAGGGCTCCTGAAATATTGCTTGGAGCTAAAGTTTATACTATGGCTGTAGATCTTTGGAGTCTTGGATGTATATTCACCGAAATGGTATGTTTTTAAAGTTTCTATTTTTATTAATTATTTTTGCAAAATAAATATTTTAAATTTTTAAATAATATCTTTGATTGTAATCTGATGAATAAACATAATCATTATGTGTTACTATAAATATGATAAATTTTATTTCATTTAATAGATCACATTGAGACCATTATTTCCTGGTGATTCAGAAATCGATCAATTATTTAGAATCTTTCGTACTCTTGGAACTCCAACTGATGCAACATGGCCTGGAGTACATAAATTACCAGATTTCAAACCATTGTTTCCGTTATGGGAAGCACGACATATAAATGATTTCTTACCAGAACTTACAGATAAAAATCAACAAAATGTTTTTTATGTGAGTAATAGTGTTTATTAACAGAATAATAAAAATATTAACAAAACTTTCTGAATTTAACACAAAATAAAAATAACTACAGTCACATAAAAAACTGTGCTACTAGTTGTTGTGGAATTAATTGTATTTACTTATAATGTTTTTGATGTTTGTTTTAAATCTATAATGATTTAAATTATATGTTTCAATGTTAATTCAATATATTGTGATTATTTAGTATTTAATTTCAATCACTTAATGTATAAAAATGTTTTATAAGAGTATTAAGTTAATACAAAATTAAAATATCTATTATAAATTTATAGTAAATTATAGTGGTTTTTTTTTTAAATATTAATAATATTATTATAAATATAGTATACTATAATAGTATAGTAACAATACAAAATATTAAAAATATTGTTTATAAGTTCTTAAATATTTTTTGTGTTTTCTATAAACACTAAATAAGTTTTTTAAAATCAAAAGTACTATTTATATTCTATTTTAAAAAATATTAAATATCTTATTTTTAAGCTTCTCATTTTATCTGGTGATCCCAAATTTTAAAATACCATATTTACAAATTATGTAAAAATAAGTAATTATAAGATTATACTTATAGTTTAATACATAAAATTAACTGTAATTTTTACATTTAAGTTTATAATTTTTAATATTTTTTTGATAACAGGCATTATGTACTTATAATCCGGCAAACAGAATGTCCGCTGACAAAATAATGGAAATGGAGTATTTTCATAATTTAAGACTGACATTACTTCCAGAAACACCTTAAATAATTAATATCAATAATAATGTTTTCTTTTTTATAGTGAGTTATGAATATATGGCTATTTTGGAATGTTTAAGACATTTAAATTGTACCTAAATTAAATTTTGAATTTTAAAGTGTAAATAATTAGTAAAATACCATTGACTACAAGTTAAAGTAGTTAATGCTATGACTTGGCTTTGGACCAAAAACATATGTATAAAAAATAATCGACAAGAGTTCAAACCTGTAATAATATTGATGTTTTCAATTTTTTCTTTTTTTTTTTTTTAACTGTATTTTATTATATACTGAATTTTGTTTGATTTTTTTTCCTGCTTAATTTTGTTTTTTCGAGTATGAAATTTATCTTATGATTACTTTTGTACTTACTGTATTATATTTTGATTTTGTAATAGTATTTAAACTGGGCCATTTTTATATCATCACAAATGTGTACTGTATCTAGAAGTTTAAATTATGAAGATTTAAACTATTATTATATATTAGGAATTGTAAATTTAAAAAGCCTTATGTCACATCTGGTGTGTTTTATGAAAATACTCTGTACAATAGGTGGAAAATTACATAGTTCTTAAATGTTGATTATGCTTGATCAATTGTTTGATCTAACTGCTTCTTCAGGTATTACCATGTTATTTTGTAGTGATGGTGATCGATTATATGCAGACCTTCTGAATCCAGCCTTATTGGTCTCCATTCCTATTTTAGTATACAAGTTTTCTTCACTAGTTGGTGTCACAACTATTTTGACTTGACTTTTGGTTCTTTCTTCAGGACTAAATAACTTCATATTTATTGGACTTTTCAAACTAGAACTCCTCCGGAGCTATTCAACAACGAAATGCAATAACGACAAGTTTTGTAGTGTTACAAAGAAAAAAAAAAGATAATTATGTTATATTTTAAAATCAATAATATTTAGTACAAAATGTTGCTTTTACAATTAATTATAAATACATACATGTACCAGTGAGTGTTATATGGTAGTGCAAACATATTTAGTAATAATCAATATAAATATCAATGTAAATAATACATGTGCTCTGGCTTTTATAGAACCTTGGTAAAAGCATTTACACTATGTTATTATATAATGAGTACTTCAAAGATGAAATACATAATAAAATAATTTTTATGAAGTGATGATAGTAGACTAAATTTCTTGTTCAGCTACATTACCGGCCTGCGATGATCTCGAGCTCTGTAAAAAGTCAGCAAAGCTGTGCATTTTATACAATTTTCGCAATATATGATACATGTCTAATAAGCCCCCAAAATTAAGTGCAAGCTTAAATATAGTGATTTAAAGTAACAATAGTTATTAATTATGTATATTTAACATTAATTGTATTATTTTTAATGGTTTTATTATTTTACTTAATAAGTTAAATAAAATATCTACTCTAGAGAAACAGTAAAAGTTTTCATAGTTGTTTAAATAGATAATTATTATCAAATGATTTCGATTGGTAGGTAACTTATTCAAAATTAATAACTATTATTCCCAACAAAAATGTGATTAAATAACTTCAGTAAATAATAAATGAAATATTAATGGATTGTTACCACTAGTGGGAAAGTTGTGTGAGTAATTACAAGTAGAAAATAATATTGATTTAAATGTAATCAAATGGTTTGACCCTTTGAGTATAAATTATTTTAGGAACGTCTTAATATAATATTTGCAAATATAAATCAACTGAATTGGTAAAATAGTAACGTTAAATGCGTATATCATAAATGAAATCCAAATATTGTCATTATATTATACATATAATAATAGGTATAATTTCGTAGATACGTAATAATACACATAAATAGCTATAATACGAGTATAATAGCTCTATACCTGTGATTTCGTCGGCGTACCAATCTGTCCTGTCGTTTGTTTAATGTAACTTTTGTCGTCGAATATTTTCACTTCTCCGCCACCGGGCCTGTGTTTCACGTTGTCCCATGAGCCCACCTTGCTTTGAGCTTTTATTTCCATTTTTTGATCCTCGATCTATAATATACATCACGTGCATGCGCACAAACAATTTAAATGTTGTGAGTGTATAATATAATATTTTTAAAGTATAATATGCAGTGTTAATCATTTACGGTATAATGCATCAAACGTTTGCAATAATGATGATATCCGAAACAGATTGCAATCAATTAAGATAATGAATTTTTTTTTCTCTGTGGTATCGACAAACACACGTATAATGTATATTCATAAGATTTATATAATATGCATATCAAAATCAACACAGAACGGTGGTGTAAAACAATTGTATATAAAATATATATGTATACAAAAGTGACGAATATATATGTGTGTGTGTAAAGTATGGCACATAAAACAATGCATAAACACAAAAACACACACTTATTTATTGTATTATACGTATAAACGATTGCATTGGTAAGCGTATTGCGAGTACATGATATTATTTGTATGAAATACCTACAATACCTACATTCCGCATACAAAATATATAGGTAAACGTTTCACACCTATATTTGTTTACTCACGTCGTGCGATTCCGGTTCTAATAATTGTGTCGATTGGCTCTAAACAAATTAAAATATATTTGTTTTCTATAAAAATAAAAGTACAAAAATGTGCACACAACCATCTCAATTTAAATAAACAATAACTGAGGTTATGTTTGAAACGGAAATCGTAACTAAATCACTATATATTATGACCGGTACCCGTCCATAAAATATTTTTAAATCATTTTTATAAACCAAATGTCTATAGGGCTAAATACCGACAATCCATTATGAAATATATAATATTATCGTGGTTATCATGAAAAATCCTCGAAATAAGCAATGTTTAAAAAATCATTACGGATGACCTGTACATTTAGGTACATAGGTAGGTACATATATTTTCACAAATTTAACAACTTTTGTTGATATTTCTGTAATACTAATGAAACAATTATTTAGCAATAAGTGAAGTATACATATTGAATACATCAAAACATCATAAGTTATTTAACACGTACCAAATGGGTTGAAATTTATATTAATTTGGTATATTATTAGTGGTGTATGCAATAATAAGACTACCTATATTATTATTATTTTTTTTTTTATTAGTTTCAGTTATAAGTGCAAAAATAATTTCAAACAAGCCAAATTTTTGTTTTGAATAAATTAAATTTTTTAAATTTAATTACCGTATGGGTTGTACGTATTATTGACTATTATTTTAATTTCCAACAATTATCATTTAACATTATATAAAATGTATTTGTTAAAATGCATTATTTGTTTAAATTTTTTTTTTAAAAAAAGCGAATTAAATTAAATTTACTTATCGATAGTAATTTTTGATTTACTTATTCGATTTTATCCTATCTGTATTACATTGTTATTGATGATCATTTTTTAAGTCTAGTAATTTCGATTTAATTATTGGCTATTCATTATACTAATTTATTTACCTACAAGAAAAAGGCATCTCCTGATTATAGAAAAAAAAGTTATATAGGTATTAATGTAGGAAGAACTTCAAAGCATTAATATATAATAATAATAAAACGATGTATAAATACATATGTATTAAAATATTAAAATTACACTAAGAACTTGTTACTATGAAACGTTTTTAATTTCAGTGTTTACTATATTTAAAATCATTAGTCGACATTACCTTAACTGCACCACCACCAGGAGTATGTTTGATATTGTCCTTGGATCCTATTTTCGGTTTTGCCTTGTCTTTGAAGTCAAGTTTAACAGTTTCAATTTTCTTATCACCACCGCCAGGTTTGTGTGTTTTATTTTCCAGCGAACCTACTTTGGGTTTGGCGTTCCATTGAAGCTTGACGCTTGGAATCTGAAAAAACCATCGATTAAATGTTATAATATGTTGTAGGTATCTATGTTGCATATATTATAAATATTTTTAGCATTCAAAATTGATTCTTCATAGTAAAATGTTTCATTAGAAAATATTGAATACATCCACCGAGTGTTTATTTTATATGGTATTATGAATAACTGTACAATAATAAGGTAAACATATTGCCAAATGAAATTGGATAAATACACTGAGCACGAAACGGAGTTATGGACAATATATAATAATAAAAGCAACTCACCCCATGTATACTACAAAAGACTATTCAGTGTTAATAAAATATTTAAATCTGAAAATATTATGAATGACAAAATTATTTTACCGTGTAAAGTAAATACATAGATAAGATCAAAAGTGGACAAGTTAATAAAAATAATTAACTTGAGTTAAGTTAAGTTAATAGAACACAAGATCGATAAATTAGAAGTTAATAAGGAAAAAAGTATTAACTTTTTTAGTATTCAGTTTAATTAAAGTTAATCTATTTTTTTATTCAATATGTAGACCACATAAAAAGTGACTGCATTCTTTAAAAGATCTAACTTCCTAAATTATAACAAATAATTGTATTGAATTTTTTAACATAATATCGACTGGTAAAAGGAAAAAGAGGCTAAGCAACCATTTTACTACTTTTCAGGAGAGCAAAAATGAAATTTTCATATTTTCTTAACTTTGGCGTTGGCGCTTCGGTATTTATTTAAACATTAGGAATAGGGTTATTATATATTTCCATTATATTATAAGTTACCTTGCTGATCTGATATCAATTACATGAAATATTAAGAACATTTTTTATCATAACGAATCAAACTAAAACTTACCTTTTTTTGGTGCTTAGCTTTTCATTTTTTTTTTTTTTTTTTTATGATAAATAACGCTTTTAAGATTGTTTAGTAGATTTGTAATAATTGTGCAACGTAACTAGGTATACCTAGTAGGTACGTAAAAACAACGTTTCTCATATTATCACTTCAATCAATATGAAAAATGGTTAGATACTCATAAGTTATATTATTGTTATTATTATGAAAGTTGTTAAGCAACAATCGTAGGGGCTAAGCACCATAAATTTGTCGCTTAGTCCTTATAATTTTCAATAGTGTCACTTATACCCTTAAAAGAGACGCTTGTCCCTACTTTTATAAGAGTTGTGTTGCTTGTCCCACAAAATTTAAATTCTTTTATTTACTAAATCTCATTATATTATTAAATGGTCAGAACAACACTAGCGCTAGTGATATCGAAAGAGTGTCGGTTATCCCGTAGTATACACTGTGTCACTTATCCCCTTTTGCTCGTTACTAGTCGATATACAGTTGTGATGACGAAATGTTTGAAAAATACTATGCCATTGTACATCAAGGGGCCACTCACTATCGTATTTATTTATCTTTATAGTTCAAATTTGTTGTACATAACATTCTGTATCCACGGCCAGAATCTAATACTAAAGGTGGGCCCCCAACTTACAAAATCTAATATGATCCTGATGTACAGTGTATGAAACCATTTTACTTTGAATGATTATTTAATTTTTATATTAATATTGACGTATAAACGAGAAATTTAAAAATTGTTTAACTTGTTAGATCATTTTTAAATCAATTGTGAAAAGCTAAGTTATTTCAATTGCCAAATAGACTGGTTAAAAATTTTAAAAAAAATTAACTTTTGAACTATTTAATTCCCACCTTTGGATAAGATATCCATTTAAATTAATTTCAACTGAATAGTATCTACTATATAGATGTACTATATAGATGTACCACAAACCCATAAACAGTTGTCATAATTAATTATTGTTTACCTTCTTATCACCTCCACCGGGAACATATGTGTCATTTTTCGCCTCAATTCTCGTGCCGGCTTTCCATTCTAGTTTTCTGTTTTCAATTTTCACCTGACCACCACCTGGTTTGTGGCTGGTATTCTGTAGTGAACCGATTTTAGATCTAACTACTTTGAGATTCGGAGATGGTGCGGATCCCACTTGTACTTTGTTCATCGGTAACTCTAAAATACAAATGAAACCGATTATATAATTCCATTAATTTCAACTAATGACGTTTCCTCACTTTTTTGGCCGATAGAATTTGCGTTTTCCGGGGATTTAGGCGTGATGGCTCTAGTAGGTGTTTTCAATTCGGATCGATCTTTTTTCGGAATTTTGCTTGGTGACTTTCCAACGTCATTTTCACCTCTATGATTACCCTGCATACAAAAAAATTATGTAAATCGTTTACTCGGATATTTTACTATTAGTTTTGACTTACTTTCGAGTTCGACGAGTCTTTGAGGGGCTCAATATCTGCAAATAAATAATAAACACAAATAAATGTACGTATTTATTGTATTGCTTTTATAGAATTATACGTAGGTATATATTTTATTATGCCGTTATAAAATATTGATAATAGTAATCATAAAAATATCTTAGTGTTTTCACATAGGCTTCTATCAGTTATATTCAACACTTTATAATAGGTATCAGCTGTACGAAAACGGAGCAACTACCTAATATGCAAATACGTCACTAATGGTGTGCGAAAAAAAAAATTTTATTATTCTAGTGAATACAAGAAATATTCAATGGACATTATGTTTATTATACCCTAATAACACATATTTTCGGTTTAGATATGACAATTAAAGTCATACTCAACATAACGATATTTTACTGTGCAGCAATCTTATATTGGTAAAATTAGGTAGGTACCTTTTATTATTTTTAAAGTATCGGGCCTCAAATTTTTACTCTGCGACACTATCGGTTCGTCCCTATTTCTAACGTTGTCCGCAATGGTCTTTGTTTTCGTCTTATTCCGATCATTCGTATCGTGTTCACCGGCCGGCCTAGACGCAGCAATAGCAGCATAATCTCTGGTCTTATTCCCCATTTCCTCGACTTTCGTTGGCAGCTCTTTGCCAAATGTCTTATCAATATTATCACCACCACCGTCCACCATCGAGTACTTCTGTGGTTCTTTGACTGGTTTCATGTGCGTAGCCTCAAAATGCGACTTTCTTAGTTCCGAGGCTCTATTTCCATGTTCCACGGCCTTTGGGCCTGCAAATTCTTTTTCTACTTTTCGCTCGTATCGGGACTGCTGTTGCTCCTCGTATTCTTTGGTTGATCTATCTTCTTTGTTCATGTCTGGTCGGGGTGCGACTAATTTTCCATTTGACCCTCCAGAACCAAATTCATTGACAACTTCCGCTTTCCTGTATTCCACCTGCCGCCGGATCTCATCCTGTGAGTCTTGTGGAACCAGCCTTCTGGCTGCTTCCTGCTCCACTGCTGCCTTCCTGTCATCCTGCATGTCCACCGGAGGTGGTCTCCTGCCATATTCGACGGGTGCATCATTCCTGCCACGTAAACTCACGTCCGCTACTTTCGAAATACCATCCATCACACTATCTCGCCTAATTATCGATGGTACGTCTCTAGGCTTCTGGCTGTTCGACAGTGATGGGCGCCTGATATCTTCATCCTGCTGAAACTGTTGCCTGTTGTAACGCTGTTGCTCTTGGCCTTCAGGCATCACCAGCGACGGTTGTTGCCGGCCGTATTGCTGATCCTGCTGTGGCTTGCCGTACTTTCCAGCACCTTGCGCCGTGGCCGCTGCCGCCAATCTTTGCCACTGCCTGTTCGGTTCAACACCTTCAGGAGGCCTACCACCAGCGTGCAACGTAGAATCCCTCCGATTCAATGGTGGTGGTGGTGGTTGTTGGTTAACAGAAGAGTTAACAACCACTTCTTCGTCGTCATCAATACCACTACCAACTACAGGTCTCGCGGGCCTACCGTTTTCCGGTCTAAACGGTTGTTTTTCCTCGACCCGAGTCTGCAAGGATCGGCGGTCCTGTACCAACGATGGTGGTTGTTGCCTGTATTGTTGTTGTTCTTGCGGAGGTGGTGGTGGCCTTTGTTGCATGTTGTAGTACTGCGATTGCGATGGCGGTCGTTGTTGCGAAGGTGTCGGACCTCGGACAACGTCCTGCGGTATACCTTGCCGGTTAAGGTTCCAAGAGTTTACCTTGTCGTCAGTCGTCCTGGACTGCTGCTGTTGCTGTTGGTGATGTGGTGGCTGTCGTTGTTGCTGTGGCCCTAAGGGCCTGTTGGGTACATTGTATTGGCCTTGCTGGTAGAATTCTGGTCGCTGTGGCCTCGGATTAAAATCTGTAGGCGCTCGCTGTTGTGGCTTAGGAGGTAATGTCGTCTACAAATAAAACACGAACGTATTACACACACGCGCTTGCGCGCCAAATAATATTCTATATTTGTATGTGTTGGTTTTGTATACGTGCAGGATATATGTATATGTATGTATATAGTACACGTACTTTATAATAACGTTATAATTACAAAATCAGTAATGATTATTTTTGATTGTTATCAATTTTGTGTGATGTAAAAAATACGATTTTGATAATATATATAAATTGATATCATACCTATATATAATATTATAATATATGAAAATATTATACTAATCTCTTACCGTATTCATTGGATTTCTCGTATCTGACCCATAACCACCGGAAGGTTCTATTATGCTATTTCGACGATGATTATCCATAATTGTATTATTAATTAATTATTTTGTTATTAATTATATAAATGTATATATTTGTTTATTTATTTATATATATATATATATTTATTAATTTATTTATTTATTGTTTAATCGCGATTTTTGTTTTTTAAATGTTAACATGCTATTTTATTTTATACTAAGTACGTCCGTTTCTTGCGATCACCTAAAAATTACAATTATGTTTATTTTTTTGTATACAGTGTTTATAGCGCTAGTAAACCGTGTTGAATTGTGACGAACACTTAACTTATAATAGGTAAACTGACTGACAGTGTGCTTTTATGTATACATAATACATTTTTATTATTTATGTGAGTATATACATAAAGTACGAATACATATACTTAATATACAAATGTATATATTCATATAATGCACGAACAAAATGGGGCAGAATCGATTATTTTGTATGTTTTGTGGATGAGGAGAGGGGTCGACAACGGAAAACTACTATATTTTACCAAACCTACTGCACGTCATCCATCGATTTCCGGAGCAATATAAACTAAACGGCTGTGCGCATTTAACACGGAGACCTAAAAAATTAACTAGAATTTTACATTATAGTATTATAAAGTCCATCCAAAAACCAAGGTGTTCATGTACTTAGGTAAATTTGTTTGTATACTAATATTATATTCTCGATAAAAAAATATTTTAAGATGTATTAAATCTGTTAACGAAAAGCTTAATTAATAGTTCACCCCAAACTAAACATTTTAATGAAGACGGATTACATTCGTATAATGATTCGTTTCAATAATTATTATTTTTTAAAATTAACAATTACTCGTATATCAAGCAGACACAATAATAGTAGGAAGATAAGTGCGAAATTGTAGAGGACGAAATACACGAAAAAAAATCTACGTATGGACACGCATATATATTTTAGTCTTATCTGACTAAGTATAATACATAATTATAAAAATAACGTACCTTTTAGACGAGTGTTGATTGCTCTACGGAAATAAGAGCTTTAAAATGTATCAAAGCTCGGTAAGTTCCGGTGTTTTACTGAGCATAGTGAGTACAACTCTAAACTTCGGCGTGATCAAAATTCGCGTGCTTAGATACGCGCTAATAAAACACTGTACTACATATAGGCACGACACGAACAGCTCCCAATTTTTATGGGGTGGAGGTGGGATGGTTTTTGAAGCATAGAAAGGAAGAGGCTTTCCCTCTATTTGCTATTTCCCCACCTATATAAAACCACTACGAATAATATACAAACAAATTTTAATCACTATACACATATGCTACATTTTTTTCCAGAGATACATTTTAGTAAAGCACATATTTTACATGTAAATAATATTTGTATATATATTTTATATTTGTTGATTATGAAATTGGAATGTACGATAATATCTACTGTTGCTTTACCCGTTTGTATCCTTTGACCTAAGTGAATTTAAAATGTATCTAATCTATTATATTTTATTAAATATATACGTAAAATAAATATTACAAATTCAGAAATATAAAATAGGCCTACATCTTTTATTTATAGTAATATAAGCATACATTGAATATATAATAAAATCCCATTAGTTTTTATTAAACCTATATTAAAAGTTTTACCTTTTATCTGTTATTTCTTACATGAATGTAAATATATCTGAGCACAATTTAATGTGTCCATGTATAAATCTTATTTTTAATTATTATACAATGTTATTTAAAAATTTATGTTAATTTATTTACGTATGATACTATGTATTTATTAAAATAAAAACTTAATACGAATATATATGTATATTTAATATTACCTACTACTAAAAAGATGCAGAAATACATACATTTCTGTAGTTGAAGGAAATAAAATAAAATACATTTTTCTTAAGTATAGATTCAGCACTTTCACTCTTATAGTGTACTTTAAACCCGTTTTATATATAATAATAATTTTATTTGAGACAAATTCCCCAATTAAAGGTATTTTCAATTATTTTGTTCCTCGTATGGGAATTTAACAACGTATGAAGATAAATTTCCATACGAGGAACAAAGGTACTTAAGATGCATTATAAGTACCTTTTTCAATTATAATTGTAGTCTTTATTTTTATAAAATGTTATGTTCATTTTAAAAATGTTCAAGTATGCATATATTATTCAATAACGATAAATATGAAATTATGATTTGTACATAGAATAATCCCTACATAGAATAAATCAATGAAAATAAGAATTAAAACGTATTTTATTAAATTTATTATATATTTAATTATATGTGTTATTATAAGTCACTTTTTTTTTTATATAATTTATCATAGTTGAAATAATTAAAAAGAAATAAATGTGTGACCAATGCAAATAATAAAAATAAATTACATAAGTTAATATTCAGAAAATTTGGGTACATTAACCTAATTTTATCGGTACGTATACTAACATATTTGATTGAAAGTTGTACAGGCTTTGGTTCAGTTAGCAACATAAAATATATTTAATACTTAATATAAACCTAGTTTGAATATGTAGGTTAAAACTTAAAATGCCGGTACATGTTCTAGTTTAACAGACAATGATGGCTTTTTTTACATTTTTTAATAAAAAAAAAAATATTATATAGTATAAAGTGAAGGCGCTGCCTAGGTAATAAAATATTGACATGCAATCCTGTAATAACGGCGTAATCTCCTATTTAGTAAATATCCACCTTCCCCTGTTTCCATTATTATTAGTTTCTGGAAGAATATACCACAAACAACTGTGAATATTAATAATAATAAATTGAGTCCCGCATAAGCAAGCCATGAATATATTAATGACTCTATACAGTGAAATAAAATTAGACTAATAGCTGTATATTATACCTTACCAGATAGCATATATATTTGGCTTATTTGAGAATTAAATTAATTAAATTAAATTCAAACATATAACGCTAAACTATTATTATTTAATATTTACACTAGGTACATAAATAGTAAGAATTAATATTGTTTTATATTTATTTACCTATTATACTTTGATTTACCTATATTACATATAATATATACAATTATGTTATTTATGAATTGTAAAATATTTTAAGCTTGGTGGTTTGTCTTACAATATTATCATATATTATTTTTATATTTTATTATTTTTAAAGTGTTAAAGTATGTTTTTATAATAGTGAAATAGTCGAAATATCAGTGATTTTTTTAAAATTGGATGAACACTATCCACTTCTTTGGGACATAAAATAAATGGACATGTAACATAAAATTAAAAAATAAAATATTTAAGAACTTTTATTCAAAACTTGACAATAAAGGATAAGTAGGGAGAAAGGATGAAAAACAAAAAAAACCTAAGTAAAAAATATAAAAGACGTTTATTGAAACGAATTAGTTTAAATTGTAAAAAATAAAAAGTCTTGAAAACAAAATTAGTCATGATTTCTCAGGAGCGCATTATTGGTTTTGCTAGCCATGTTGATTACACGAAGCGATTTTACTCGCCAGAGTGTAAGATAACTAATGATTAGCGATTAAAGTAGCTCGGCTGTCAACTTAATTCACAGGCGAGTAGCATCTATTTAACATGCGGCGAGTAAGCAAGTAGGTATATTAAGCGAAGTTAGTGGCAGCCAGTAATGTAAACGTCGAGGCTTATCATTCAAATATATGGAGTGTGACTTCTACTTATGCGGTAAAAAAGTAAAGAGAGACCTAGAACAAATTGGATGCAAAATCTAAAACAATGGTTAGGTTGCAGCAGTGACCAATTATTCAAGGCGGTCCAAGAGAAAAACCAGATTAATATGATGATTTCCAACCTCCGTTAGGAGAGTTAATCCAAGAAGAAGAAGAAGAAGACTTCTAATTAATAAATAATATTAAATATATGCATAATATATTAATATATCACTAGCCAAAATAGGTTTACAAAAATGTTTTTGAGATCATTTCTATGACGAATAAGATTATATAATATTTAAGTAGACATTTTTAAAATATTTAATAATATTACACGATAGTATTTATAAAATAAATAGAACAATTTTTGTAAATATGGAGTAGTCAACTATGAAATATATGATTTCATTGGGTAATATATGATATTATTAATTACAAGCTATTTCCAACGAAGCTTAATTAACCCATAAAAAATTTTACAAAAGCTCTATATGGTCACCAAAATCCACTTTTTTCTAATCTTGATTTTAACTATGTAACTATATAAATATAAATTTACTGAATTATAATTAATAATTTGTACAAAACTGGAGTAGAAATGTATATAATAATTTATTAATAATAAGTGAAAAGTAAAAAAAAATAAAAAAAATAAAAAATAGTTTTTACAGAATATGTTTTCCCTATAATGATTTAAATTGTTTGCCATAGATAAATATTATTAAATATTTCATTAAAGAATTATAATAAATATTTTTTACAAAAAATATTTTATAACTACTAACTACATGAAAAAATGATTATCATGAATAAAATTTAATAACTAATATACTAATATATAATGTTACCGCTTATAGAAATAATGTGTAATATTTCCATAATATAGTTATGATATAACATCCAATACGTTTTTTATATAATATAAATGTACTTAACTACTATTTATAACATTATATAGTTTAATTATGGTTATACCACGAAAAGAGCAACAGAAATCTTTAAACGCAGACGTATAATTCTCATAGTGCAAATATGATTGAAAAACATGTTTAAAATTACAATTTAAACTTTAAAAGCTATAAAATGTGTGCTTGTAGGTACACAATTGTACTCCTTTATTTTTAATATCTTAATTCTAAAACTCGAATAGTTTCGTGTAACAATCATCACATCATTATACTTTTAATAGCTCGTCAAATTCATGTAGTATAATTATATCAGGTATACGAAAATAAATAGTAAATGATAAATTTGTAAATGGTCACGTGATTATTAACAAAAACTTTTTTAATCAAATAGACAATCTCTACCTAGCTATACGTAGCTTAACAAATTAGTCTTAATATAGAGTTACCGCGGAGATACATGTATAACA